CCTGGGCTGGAATACCTGATCACAGGTGCCAGAAGTTGGTTGACTCCATGCAACACAGATGTACAGCAGTTCTCAGAAACAGTGCTTATACAACTAAAATATTAAGTGATTCAAAGGAAAGCAAAATCTTCAAAACATTTTTCAGTTTATATAGTGAATGTTTGAGTTTGTAAAGAAGAATACAAACACTGCTATTTTTTTTGAACAGTCTAATATTCACTTTTCTTAATTTTTTTTTTTTTAGAGGAACAACACAAATTTGATATTTTTCTTCATGTTTTGATTTGGAATAGAATGTGTAGCAGTCCCAATGCCTTTGTGTGTATGGAAATAAAAGCTATTCGAAGGATTTTGAGGTTTATTCACTTTTTTTCAACACACTGCTATTATTTTGAACACAACTGTGTGTGTGTGTGTGTGTATCTTGTGTATATGTCACATATATATATATATATATATATATATATACAGTACATTCACATCCGTTCCTAACCCTCAAGGGGTGTACAATCTAGGGTCCCTAACTTACATTCATACATACACATACTAGAGCCAATTTAGACGGGATCTAATTAACCTACCAGCATGTCTTTGGAGTGTGTGGGAGGAACCCGGAGGAAACCCACACACGCACAGGGAAAACATGCAAACTCCAGGCAGTGCCATGGTTGTTCAAACCAACGACCCTTGTACTGCCAGGCGGAAGTGCGAACTGTTTAGCCACTGTTCTGCCCATCAAAATTCAGACTAAACTTATTATTCGTTATTTGGAGATTCAGATATATCCGAATCACAATGGTAACAAATTTCAACTAATGTGAAATAAATTATATTGAAAACGATATCATTTGTATTTGTTTCATTTGGATAACATGATGCAATAGTTTGAGCCTTTTGTTGATGTTTGAAGTATCCAAAATAATATAACAACATAATGAATGATCCAAATTGATTTGGATCTGTTCTTTTCTATTCTAGTGAGCATGGCGTGAATATTCTCTTAAGATTCTTTTTGTTTTGGGGTTGATCTTGAGAGACTATTCATTTAATTTGTAGGTGCGTGGCTGAACAAAGTTGGTGAAATAAATGGGGAAATAAATTCAACTTGTAACATATTGAATGAATACATATTGATTGTTAAAAATGGATATAGCCAATCTTCAAGAATATCAAGAGAATAACAGAACGTCTGAAAATACAAATTGATTCAGAACAATGAATATGTACTCTTCTGAAATGATGAATCTTTATAACATACAGTGGGTAGAGAAAAGATTCACCCCCTTTAAAATAATCACGTTGTTGCTTTGCAGCCTGAAATGAAGACAGACACAGTTTTGTTTTATCCAGCTGTATTTACTCAGTGCAACTTATAACATCCAAGTGAAAGCTATTACACCAACATGTCATAAAAAAATGTAAAAACCGAATCACTGAGTTGGAAAAAGGATCACCCCCTTGTGTCAGTATTTTGTTGAACCACCTGTAGTGTGTTGGGATAGGTCTCTAATAACTTTACACATCTAGACTTTGAATTATTTGCACACTCTTCTTTGCAGAATTGCTCAGGGTCAGTTAAATTTGGAGACCATTTGTGGACTGCAGTCTTCAACTCATTCCACAGATTTTCAATGGGGTTTAAGTCTGGGCTCTGACTAGGCCATGCAAGGATGTTCACCTATTTCTCCTCCAACCACTGTGTGCTCATTTTTGCTGTGTGATTTGGGTCATTGTCATGGTGGAAGGTAAACCTTCTTCCCATTCACAACTTTCTGGCAGAGGGCAGCAGATTTTCCTCAAGAACTTGATGCTATCCATTTTTTTCCTTCTATCCTGACAATTCCCACCACCATGCTTTACTGTAGGAATGGTGTTATGTGGAGGGTGAGCTGTATTGGATTTGCACCAGACATATCGTTTAGTGTTGAGGCCAAAGAATTCAATTTTACTCTCATCTGACCAGAACATCTTTTTCCATGTTGCCACAGAATCTTCAAGGTTCGTTTTGGCAAAGCTCAGTCGTGACTGCTTGTGGCCTTTCTTGAGGAGTAGCTTTTTTCTTGCAACCCTCCCGTACAAGCCACATTTGTGGAGAATTTGTGATATTGTCACATGCACACAATGACCACTCTTTTGTCATCAATTCCTGCAACTGCTTCAAAGTTGCTGTAGGCCTCTTGGTAGCCTCTCTGACCAGTTTCCTCCTGGCTCTTTCATCCAGTTTGAAGTGATGTCCTGATCCAGGGAGGATTTGTGTTGTACTAAATACCTTTCACTTCTTAATAATATACTTCACTTCTAGGCATTGATAAAGCCTTTGAAATTTTTTGTATCCATCTCCTGACTTGTGCCTGTCCACAACTTCTATCCTGGAGATCATTTGACAGTGCCTTGCCACCAGGGCTGGTGCTAGACTATTCTGTGCCCTGGGCAAGACCAGATACATGTGCCCCCCCCCCCCCCCCCCAAAAAAAAAAATTAAAACAGAAAACATGAAATCAGAAAAACATGAAACTGGTACATTTCTTTTAATTTGCAAAAAATAAGTGCTATAAGATGCCACCAGCACCAATATTAAAGACAAACCCAGTGTTACAGCTGGACTGTATCTGTGGCTGGCAGTGGCAGGGTGAGTGGAGGAGGATGGATCTACACTCTGACAGATCCCAGGGTGGAATTCCCCGGGCAATGGGGGGGGAGATAAAACGCTGTGACAGCAGGCAGCTGAACTGAGCGATCCCACACAGTGACAGATCCAACACAACACACCACCACAAACACTAACACAGATCAGCAGGCTTTGGGATCCTGATGCTGTCATCACTCACTGACACATTGCACATGTGACGTATGGTTGGCCGGGCAGCTGGGTCACACTCACACAGACATGAGACATCAGAGTCAGACATTACCTTTCTCTGCAGGCACAGCTCCACCTTCTCTGATGAATGGAAAGAGAAGGGCTGGAACTCCACAGTGATCATCAGCAGCCGACTTGCAGTAAGGGACTGAGTCTGAGAAGAACACTGGAAGGAGCTGTAGTGGCCCCAGACACTCGGCATCTTCCTCTGTCCTCCCCCCCCCCCCCTGCCCCTGCCCTCAGCTGAAAGATCATTCATGACATGGCAGCATCCCATACAGAGTGCCAACCTGTTCTGTGCCCTTAGGTGGCAGTGAGCCATAGGCAGCTGCCTACTTTCCCTAATAAAAGCCCCCAGCCCTGTTTGCCACCCATAGTAGATTATTTGCTTCAGTTGCTCTATCAGGGACTGAAATGCTCCAGGAAAGCTCTTTTCATGCTGAGCTAATCAAAATGACTACTGATTATCACAGTTGAAAGTCAAATGGCTTTGTGCGCCATTGAGAAGAGGATTAGCTACACCTAATTGAGTTTACAGGTCAATTTTAAGAGGGGGTGATTCATTTTCCAACTCAATTATTCTGTTTTTAATTTTTTTTTTCTTTTATGCATGTTTGGTGTTATATCTTTCACTTTGATGTTATAAGTAAATACAGCTGGATAAAACAAAAACTGTGTCTGTCTTTATTTCAGATTCCAAAATGTGATTATTTTAAAGGGGGTGATTCTTCTCTATACCCACTGTAATGTGACAAAATGAAATGATTTACTTACTGAATGAAAATAAAAAGAAGCAAAATGTACTGTCTTGTACATCTCTAGTAATGTGTGCTGTACTCTGTCATGATATACTGATGTAGGTGTAGTAATAACGGGTAGTAGTGATGATGACAATGACGTTGTGACCTCAGTAATGTAATATATAGATTGGTGTGACAATGGAAGGAGCAGTACTGATCAGTGCTATCTGTAGGAGTGATGCTGCTGGTGTGATCTCTGTTGTAGTAGTAGTAGTGATGATGATGGTATGGTTTATGTAGTAGGGATGACTTTGTGGTCTGTGTAGTACTGATGATGGTGTGGTCTATGTAGTAGTGATGATGATGGTGTGGTCTATGTAGTAGTAGTAGTAGTGATGATGGTGTGGGCAATGTAGTAGTGACAATGGTATGCTCTTTGTAGTAGTAGTGATGATGATGGTGTGGTCTATGTAGTAGTAGTGATGATGGTGTGGTCTATGTAGTAGTAGTGATGATGGTGTGGTCTATGTGTAGCAGTAGTGGTGATGATGGTGTAGGCAATGTAGTAGTGACGATGGTATGCTCTATGTAGTAGAAGTGACAATGATGTGGTCGTGGTCTATGTAGTAGTGCTGATGATGGTGTGGTCTATGTGTAGTGACGATGGTGTGGTCTATGGAGTAGTAGTAGTGACGATGATGTGGTCTATGTGGTAGTGACGATGATGTGGTCTATGTAGTAGCAGTGACGATGATGTGGTCTATGTAGTAGCAGTGACGATGGTGTGGTCTATGTAGTAGCAGTGACGATGATGTGGTCTATGTAGTAGCAGTGACGATGGTGTGGTCTATGTAGTAGCAGTGACGATGATGTGGTCTATGTAGTAGCAGTGACGATGGTGTGGTCTATGTAGTAGTGACGATGATGTGGTCTATGTAGTAGCAGTGACGATGGTGTGGTCTATGTAGTAGCAGTGACGATGATGTGGTCTATGTGGTAGTGACGATGATGTGGTCTATGTAGTAGCAGTGACGATGGTGTGGTCTATGTAGTAGCAGTGACGATGATGTGGTCTATGTAGTAGCAGTGACGATGATGTGGTCTATGTAGTAGCAGTGACGATGATGTGGTCGTGGTCTATGTAGTAGTCAGTGATGCTCTGGACCCATGTATTGGTGTTGATGATGTTACTCGGTGTAGCAGTGATGATGATGATCTGGGTGGTATAGTAGTCAGTGATGCGGTGGACCCTGTAGTAGTCCTGATGGTGATGGTGGTCCCTGCACTAGTACAGGTGGTGATGATCGGTGTAGTAGTGATAATGATGCTGCTGGGTGTAGTAGTTGATGATGATGGTACTCGCAGTGATGCTGTGGTCCCTGTAGTACCGGTGATGATGATGTGGTCTGAGCATCCCCCTCCCCTCCCCCTCCTCTCCCGGTCCGGCCCCCGGCTCTGCTCCAATCACGGCTCTCCTTACATCTGGCCGGGGCCGGTGTGGTCACATGACGGGTGCCGGGGATGTGAGCGCGACAGGTGTCAGCCGGGGGACGGAGACGATGGCGGGGGACGAGCTGGCATCCAGGCTAAACCGGCGACTGCGGATGGGGGACCCGGAGGACGGAGAGAGGGAGCAGCCCAGTATGAGGGTCTTCAATCCCTACACCGAGTTCAAGGAGTTCAGCAGGAAGCAGATCAAAGACATGGAGGGGATGTTCAGACAGTGAGTGCCCTGAGGACCGGACCCCGACACCATCCCCTACATACATCATACTGCACCCCGACACCATCCCCTACATACATCATACTGCACCCCGACACCATCCCCTTCATACATCATACTGCACCCCGACACCATCTCCTACATACATCATACTGCAGCCCGACACCATCCCCTACATACATCATACTGCACCCCGACACCATCTCCTACATACAAAATACTGCACTCCGACACCATCCCCTACATACATCATACTGCAGCCCGACACCATCTCCTACATACATCATACTGCACTCGGACACCATCCCCTACATACATCATACAGCACCCCGACACCATCCCCTACATACATCATACAGCACCCCGACACCATCCCCTACATACATCATACTGCACCCTGACACCATTCCCTACATACCCCATACTGTACCCCAATAACATCCTTCTACCGTCATCTCCATCCATATCTATACTGACTCTATCTACCACCATCATACCTGACAATTTCATCCCTGCACCCCATCCCCGAACCTCCCCATTCCACCATCATCCCTGTCCTCTCCATCCCTCCATCCCAATATCCTTCTATACCATCCCTCTATCCCATCCTCTCCATCCCTCCATACCGTCCTCTCCATCCTGTCCCCTCCATTCCTCCATGCCGTCATCTCCATCCCTCCATCCTTCTATACCATCTCCTCCACCCCCTCTATACCAACCTCTCCATTCCTCTATCCCATCTTCTCTTATACTGTCCTCTCCATCCCTTCTATACCGTCCTCTCCATCCTCCATCCTTCTATAACGTCTTCTACATCCCTCCATCCCTTCCATACCGTCCTCTCCATCCTTCTATACCATCTGTCCTCTCTATCCGTCCATTCCTTCCATCCCTCCATCCTTCTATACCGTCCTCTCCATCTCTCCAGACTTTCTTCTCCATCCCTCCATCCTGTTCTCTCCATCCTTCTATACTGTTTTCTACATCCATCCATCCCTTTCATACCGTCCTCTCCATCTCTCTATACCTCTATACCATCCTCTCCATCCCTCCATCCTTCTGTTCCATCCCTCCATCCTCCTATACCATCCTCTGCATCCATTCATCCTTCTATACTGTCTTCTCCATCCCTTCTATACTGTCCTCGCCATCTCTTCTATACCGTCTTCTCCATCCTTCTTTACTGTCCTCTACATCCCTTCTGTACCATCCTCTACGTCCCTCCATCCTTCTATACCATCCTCTACATCCCTCCATCTTTCTATACCATCCTCTATGTCCCTCCATCCTTCTATACTGTCCTCTACATCCCTTCTATACCATCCGCTACATCCCTCCATCCTTCTATACCATCCTCTACGTCCCTCCATCTGTCTATACCATCCTCTATGTCCCTCCATCCTTCTATACTGTCCTCTACATCCCTTCTATACCCTCCTCTACATCCCTCCATCCTTCTATACCATCCTCTATGTCCCTCCATCCGTCTATACCATCCTCTATGTTACTCTGTCCTTCTATACTGTCCTCTACAATCTTCAATCCTTCTATACCATCCTCTATGCCCCCCTATCCTTCCATGTTGTCCTCTACATCCTTCAATCCTTCTATATCGTCCTCTAATTCCCTCCATCCTTCTATACCATCCTCTACATCATTCAATCCTTCTATACCATCCTCTATGCCCCTCTATCCTTCTATATCGTCCTCTACATCCTTCAATCCTTCTATACCGTCCTCTAAATCCCTTCATCCTTCTATACCATTCTCTACATCCTTCATTCCTTCTATACTGTCCTCTACATCCCTACATCCTTTTGTACCATCCTCTACATCTTTTCATAATGCTATACTATCCTCTACATCCCTCCATCATTCTATACCATCCTCTACATCCCTCCATCATTCTATACCATCCTCTACGTCCCTCCATCCTTCTATACCACCATCCTTTACCGTCCCTCCATCCCTCCATCCATCTATACCGTCCCTCGTCCCATCTATACAGTCCTTCTATATCGTCCTCTACATCCCTTCTATACAGTCCTTCTCTCCATCCTTCTATACTGTCCTCTACATCCCCTTCCTTCTATACCATCCTCTTCATCCCTCTATCCTTCTATACTGTCCTCTACAGCCTTCAATCCTTCTATACTGTCCTCTATGTCCCTCTCTTCTATACTGTCCTCTACCCTCTATCCTTCTATACTGTCCCTCTATCCATCCTTCCTACATCCTTCTATACCAACCTGTACATCCCTATATCCTTCTATACCATCCTCTACATCCCTCCATCATTCTATACTGTCCTCTACATCCCTCCATCCTTCTATACCATCCTCTGCATCCCTCCATATCCATCCTCTCCATCCCTCCATTTTTCTATACCCATCCTCTACATTCCTCCATCCTTCTATACCCAATTTCTACATTCCTATATCCCTCTATATCCATCATCTACATCCCTCCATCCTTCTATACCCAACATCTATATCCCTTCATCCTTCTATACCCATCCTCTCCATTCTTCCATCCTTCTTATACCCATCCTCTGCATCCCTCCATACTGTCCCCTCCATCCCCATCCCCCATCCCAGAGCCTTGCACCCTGTCACCCAGTTCTACATTGAACCATCATGCCGATCATCTATATCCTCTCCATCCCTACATAACTCCTCTCTACAGCTTTCATCCCTCTACACCCATCCTCCCTATCCCTCCAACTCTATGTTGCTGTACCCCATATTGCAGCCTGGCTTCCTGACGCCTGGATTTACATTCCACCATCATACCTGTCCTCTACATCCCTCCATATCAGTTCTCTATTTCCCTCCATGCTTCTTTACTCATCCTTTACATTCCTCCTCCCCATACTGCAGCCTAGCACCACAAAGACCCCCACTACATCTTCCATCCCCATATTCTACACACCTCCATACCCGTTGTCTACATCCCTGCACCCTAGCCCTATATTACATTCTACCTAACCATCCTCTTCACCCCTCCATACCTGTCCTCTACAGCGTTGCACCCCATACTGCAGCCTGGCACCTTAACACTCTGCCCTATACTATATTTCACCATTGTACCCATCCTCTCCATTCCAGTACCCTATACTGAAGTCTGGCACCCCAGACATCCTGCTCAACACTATATTTCACCATCATACTTGTCATGTCCATCCTTCCATACTGCAGTCTGGCACCCCAGAGACCCCAACACCCAGAATCATACTACTTCCTAATAATTACTCTCACCTCAGCACCGTAATAGAATTCCAGCACCATCGCCAGTCTAATACCTTCATCCTGAACTGTCTTCCTGCTTTGGCACAACTGCTTACTTTTTGCATGAACTCCAAACTCTAATAGCTTTGCATTCCAGCTAATCCTCACTTTACTCTAGAACCAAGTCTGGCTGTGTTGCTGTAAAAACAGGAATACTTTCTTAACCTTGTCACACTGTAAAACTCTATCTCTACTCACATTGTATGTAATCCTAGTAGTAGCACATTTCAGTCTCTAGTTTTTAAAGGGTTGTGTCCAACAAAACTACATTTTTAGCAATTGGTAGATGCCTGAGAGTTCATCTACTTGACTGTTTCTTATATCTTTCTGGGTCTTTATTGGTGAGTCCTGGGGTCTGTATATGCTGTGGCCATAATGAGGAGCTCATATTTTCTCCATGTTGGATTTTTGTTCATTTTATATTATGGAGAATGTAACAGGAGAAGCTTGAACACACCAAGACTGGAAATACGGGAAGACTGGAAGACTCAAAACTCCCATGTGGACAGGAGTCAGGAATCATGGCAGAGATGTCACACTATTGGAATATCCAAAGTGTATAAGAAGCCTGGGGATGACCAAGCGCACCAGGTTTTTCCTCTGTTAGTAAGCCTACTTGGGTGCACTTGCACTTTGAGCGTTCTAGTTGAATCAGACCAACCAAGGCTTACATGGGAGATCTTGTTTAGATTCTTCACTTGGTCACTGTGGCTTTTCATCATGCCTGATACCTGGCTCTGCGTACAGGAAAAATATGGGGACTATCAACCTTCTGGGCTGCCTTCTGAAATACTAGAGGACCAGCTGTTATGCTGACCAACCTGCCATTGGCCTAGAACAGTTATGCAGATCAGCAAGTCAAGTCATTCTCTGTACACTTGTTCCAGGTCATTGATTCAACGTGTTGAGGTAGGAGAGTCAGCGTGTCAGCAGGGCAACCTGCATTTTTAGAAGGAGACCTCCGTAAAGGCAGTTTCTATGTTTTCTGTCAATACAGATTACTTTTAACTACATGGGTGCCTGTCTCATTGGGCTGCTCCTGGCCTTACCTGGGTTGCTTTCATTAAAAGCTTCTATGTTGCTTAGTTACAACCCCTTTTCTTACCTTTCTCATTATTTTAGCGGTGCTAGTCCTACTTTGCGCCCTTGTAGTGCTACTGTGCCCGCATTACATTGCATTCACCAGTTCTGTCCATGCTCATATTACACTGGCACTAATTGTCCCAACAGAGCAGTAACCATCCTCAGACCATCTTCAGGCACAGCCACCTCGCCCACCTCAATTGCTGTATTTCAAATAATAACCTCTTCCATTGAACTCTTAGCATTTCTTATGTTGCGCTATCCCCAATATTACTCTTGCACCAAACCTCATACCTACTGCACCTTCCCATCTTGCCCTTGTTCTTACTTTCAGTACTACATTCATACCTAATGTATTACTAATAAGAGTGCAGCTAGCCCATATAAAGCGTCTCCCCCATTCTATAGCCCAGCACAGTCCTCCATGGTTCCCTTGCACCCACGCTTTTACAAGCTCTGTTCTCATTGACGCCAGTTCTAGTCCAACACACAAGCTTTATTTATCTGCATCTTATTAACTTTAACCACGTTCTTACTGCCATTAAAACATTCATAGTGCCCTGCGGACTTCCCATCACTCTTCTTCCTTCTTGACGGTGATTGGCAGCTCTCATGGCCAGTAGTTGCTGT